GTTAGCTGTTCAAGTAAGGAAAGTTGTTGTACAGACCACTAAAGCATCTTTGCGGTGAAGTTTCCTTCGCCCTCCGTGGGAAGGCCAGCTTCCCTACAGTGGACAGGCAGGCTGCTGGAGCACAGAGGTGGTGAGAAGGAGTCACTTCCCTGGCGCAGAAATTCTTGGCCCAAGCTGGCCCTGAGCTGCATGAGCCTTCAAGAATGGGGAAGGGATTTATGGGAAGGGATTTATGGAGACGGAAGAGGCAAAGGAGAATTCCAAACCAAGGGAACGGCCCAGCTGAGGCAGAGAGCAAGTGGTTCTTGCCATTAGGCAGGTGTCCCTGTCTTGAAATGCCCTGCTGGTGATTTTAGGGGGTGGGGTTTGAGGAGAAAGACAGCACAAAAGGTCTCTGGGGTTGGGAATTTTCCTCAGTGTGGGGATTTGACCAAGAATCTAAGCGTAGACATTCACAACTGGAATACCTGGGAGCACCCGGCAAGTCAGGGTGGGAAGGGGAAGGAGTCAGCTCTCTGGGAGTGGGGCCCAGTGATGCCAGATCCTTCTATGTTTTAAGAAGCCAGACGTCCAGATTTGGGAATAAAAATCTCCCAATGTGCAAATGAGGGTTCCAAAAATGAACGGTCCACAAACATAGCGTGAAACCCCTGGGCTGCTGCTGGCCAGCTCTGGACCCTGACCCCACACAGCAACCTGGGTCTCACAGGGAAAGCTTTAGCATGTATTCTGTCCGAGAGAGGGGGTGCATACAAAGTGTCCCCAAGGTGCATTTCTCCTCTGCCTCCCTCCCACAAAGGTCAGAAGGTTCAAATCAGATTCAGATTTGTAGGTAAAAAGAAAACTATTGGCCACTGAGGCCAAGAGATCCTCACTGACTGTCTTCTTTTTCCGTGTCAAGACGGGGAGGCCCGTAGAGGAGAGAAGCCTTGTCCAAGATCACAAAACCGCTTGGGCAGAGCCTGGACCGAGGCTTGGGGTTCTGACTCCCAGCCCAGTGCTCCCTCTATCAAGGGGCCTAAAATAGGAGGCTGACCTTTTTGTGGTATTTCTTGCCTGACACATGCCAGAGAGTTACTCATGAGTTCATCTTCCCAGAATAAGTGGCAGAATGGGGCCAGAGGGCAGCAGGAAGACCCCGGGCTGCCCGCTGTGAAACCCACACTCCTGGAAAGCAGGGCATGGGGCTCGCCATCGGTGGGGGCCTGCCTGCTGCCAGAGCTCCAGGCCAGGCCCTGGCTTTGGGGGGGGGGCTCTTTGTGAGCCCCAGGGAGAGGGCTCTGGAAGCCAGAACAGATCCTAGGGGTGTGTTAGGGACCCGAGAGCTTGAGCCTGTCCAGCTCGTGCCCCTGCCTTCATTCTCCCTTCTCTTTTTAGTACAATATAGTAATCATCGTAGGAATCTTGAAAAAATTCGGACAAGCGCAAAAACTAAAATGAAAACTCACGTAATAAAACCACCCGGTCCTCCCATGACTTTAGCTCGGGTCCCTGCAGTCTGGTCCACTCTGTGCAAGGAGGGAGGCAGAGCCTGACTTTTTCCTTTTCTTTCTTTCTTTCTTTTTTTGTTACAACAACGGGGACACGTGGGACATGCTTTTTCTAATCTTTTCTCGTTTACTGCCTCAAGCGTTTTCCTGTGCGCTTAATCTCCCACCAGCATTTTTAAGCCTCCGCAGAGGATTCCAACACCTAGAAATATTCTAATTCATTCGGCCGTTTTCCCCCACCGCGGGGCACATGGGCTCTCCAGCTCCCAGGTACACACACCAGTGCTTTGAACCTCAGTGTCGTGCACTCTGGGGTCCGTCCACAGTGCCTTCCATAGCCTAAAGTTCTAGACGTGGACTCAGATGGCGTGAAAATGGTATGGCCTTTGTTACACATTTCACAGGCTGTTTTTGACACACTCGGGGAGAGCCAAGAATTTTATCTGCTGGAGAAGATCTCAGGGAGGTCTCTCTGTCTGTGCCCTTGTCCCATGATCTCCGGCTCATCTGTGTTTACAAATACTTGGCAGTCCATGTGTGTTTGACTCGTGTCCAGAAAGCCACTTGGCATCTCCACCAAAGCTGGTTCATTAAGAACCACCTCGCCGGGATGAAGCAAGAGCCGGTGGACAGGCCACAGGCATTGCTGAGTTCTTTCGAGAGCCCTCCTGGCCCTCTGACTTGTCAGACAGGCTGGCACAGTGGCTGCCACCTCAACTTGGGAAGGGGCCCCTTGAAATGACAGGAAGAATCTGGGCACCTGGCCAAAAAAAAAAAAAAAAATCACTGAGACTTTCCGGGTCCCCAGTGCTATGGGGGAAGGGAGAGGAGTACAAAGTGGGGAGCAAGGAAAGGGGGGTGTTTGCAGCAGCCAGCAAGGGGAAGATGTGCTTAGTTGTCTCTGCTCAGCCAGACCCCGGGAACAGGTGATATCGGAAGTTGGTGATTTTTTTTTTTTTTTCCGATTTATTTCTCAGCACAAACCAAAGGTATGTGGTGTGACCCTCATCCATTCCCGAAATGAAGGCACGCTAGTCTCCCGGCCACAGTTTTCAGCCTCTCCTTGGCTCGAACACGCGCCCGGCCCCAGAGGTCTTAGAGCAGTAAACCAGGGCTCTGGAGAGCCTGACGGAGAAGACTTGTGGCAGACAAGAAGGGGTGGGTGACCACCTTGGTGACAGCCACGCCATCCGTCTGTCCCGGCTAGGGCGTTGTCGGAGGCATAAAAGACTTGGTCCCAACCCTGTTACCACGCTTGGCAGCCCCTGTGTTCATTGCTCTGATAAATAAGCAGCTCGGCCGGCGGGGGGCGGGGGGGAGCCATCTTGACATTTTGATTTGCTAAGGCGTGATTCATTTTCGAGTCAAGTTAACAGCTTGTAAACTTGGGGGTTTACCACTTGAAGTGAGTAAGAAGTAAGCAGCCATAAAGCCGGTGATCTGGGGCTGCGGCTGATCGCCCTCTGGGAATCTTCCCGACTGGTATTCCGATTTGCCTCGACGTTTGCCGTAGCTAATTCGAGCCTCCCCCTCCGCCAACAGTACATCGTGTAAGGCCTCTTCTTGGGAACTCCAGCTGGTCAGTCCTGATGTTCTCCCTGTGGAGCAAACGTCCGTCCGCCGTAGCTGGGGGAGAGGAGTTCTGCCCTCCACGAAAGATACCCACCCCGCTCCCACAAGGCCTCACGTCCCCTTGCCATCACGTTGCAAAACTTGGAGGGCCTGGCTCGGGGTATTAAATGAAGACCCCGCTTGCCCACGCGAGGCGGGGTGAGGGAGATACAGGCCTCCAGTTAAGGAATGAGGAAGTCACGGGAATAAAAAGCAGAGCATGAAATATAGAGTCGATCATACTGTAATGGTGTTGTCCTGGGACAGATGGGAGCTACCTTTGGGAACACAGGATAATGTATACACTTGACAAATCGCTAAGTGGGACACCTGAAACTAATGTCACACTGGTGTCAACAATACTCAAAAAGAAAAAAAGAAGAAAATTTTTTAATTAAATAAATACAATAAAACAATAAAGACCTGGCTTTTAAAGAGCTAATCCTAAGACAGAAATAACTTCCCGCAAACATTAATACAAAATAGCCCCTCCACATTGGACAGGTGTGGGGTCCCACTTGTCCTGAGCTGGTAGGGGGATGAAGCCACAGGTCGCCACCCCCCCAGCCAGGCCCGTGTTTGCCCACCGGTCTGTGTGGGGGGCTTCGGATAGTGCGGGGACTTGCCCCACCGGCTGGTACGTGAGCAGATCAGGGAGAGAACACAAGCTTGCGTGGTGCCAGAGCCCAGGCTGGGTGTGGGATCCCTCCCACTGTCAGCTAGGAGGAAGACATGTCCCCCCCACCACCCCTATCCCCACCCCATTTGGGCTCCGGTTCTGAATTACAGGGCAGAGGCGTCAGGCTCCACGGAGCGCCTTGACCGTGGTCCTGCCCAGCTTGTGGGGGCTGAGGCAGAAGCCACCACGGTCCGGTCCTCTTAGCTCCCTGTGATCCTCAGGGCTTTTGTTCCGTGGAAGCTTTCCTGTATTTAGTGAATAAAATCGGAAGCTACGGCCCTTTAGGAAAGCAGGCAGTGGAAAGGACAGAAAGCCGTGGTCTGCAGGGAAGGGGCTCCAAGATGGGCTCGTTCATATGGGCCTCCTTTCATCCTAGGACACTCCCTGTGTGCCAAGCCCTGTGCCTCACTGTACCCCCAGTAGAGTGCGGTGACAAGAACTTAGTGACGGCACTCCCAGCTAGTGGGGTTGAGCGGGGAGAGTGCTAGGTACGCGTTCTGGTGTTTCTGCATGGGGAGCAGAGCCTGCCCAATTCCGAGTGTCTCCAAAGCGTGGGGCTCCCCCACTCCCTAGTGCCTGGAAGGCCGCAGGCCTCGCAAATGGGCAGTCCTCGTCTCTGAACCCAGAGTTGCTCCAAGGGCATGTGGAACTCTGTAAGCAGGAGCTTTTGTTCCTCCCGTACCAAACCCTCCAGAGCCTCCAGAGCTAAGCAGACAGAGCCTGTGGCAGGGAGAGACCCGCGGGCCCCTCCCCTTCTGCCCAGGTCCCTGCCTTTGTCAACTCGGGCACGTTAGCGAAGGCCCCAAGATTTTGCTAGGAGGCTGTCCCCAGTCCGTGTGTGAATTTCACCAGCACGTCTCTGAAGCCCCAAGGCTGCGTGTCCCGTTCAAGGGCACGGCGAGCCCTTCGCCAAGCCAGAGTCAGGCATTCTGATTTATGGCTCCAGGCCCTCGGCACTCTGGCCGGCTGCACCCTCTTCCTTGAAATGGCTTTGAAGTGTGTCCAGGTCAGGCCCATGGCCAGCGAGGTCAACTGGGGACTCTTCAAGGGGCTGGGTTGGGCTGGGGGTGGGGGTGTACCCATTACATTAAGGTCCCCAGCACCACCTTTGAAGTGCAGCTTGCCCTGTGGCATCTCCCCCGAAATAGGGGTGTGTGGCCCTCCTCCTGCTAGGCCTTCTTGTTTCTTCCTACTTGGTCACCTCTCCACCTGTCTTGCAGGCTTTGCCGTGGCCCAGTGCATAAACCAGCACAGCTCGCCGTCCCTGTCCTCGGCATCTGCCAGCGGGAGCCCCAGCGGCAGTGGGAGTGCCAGCCACTGTGACTCTGGGGGCACCAGCTCATCGTCCACCCCTTCCGCTACCCAGAGCCCGTCAGGTATGGGCCGCGTGACACGGTGCGGGGTGGGGATGGCGGGGGGGACTTCGGGGAACTTTGCGATCGCTCCGGTCCGAGACCGCTGACCCCCGCCCAGCTCCTCCTTGCCGCCGCGTTTGGGGACACCGCCACTCGGGGTTCTGTGTTTGCTCTGATGCAGCATTGCCCATGTGCCGGCTGGCTGGGTTAGCTCCCAGCAGGGGAGGACCACTCCTTTTCCAGGCTGGCCCGCCACCGAGAAAGGCCTTCCCTGACCGCAGAGCTGGAGGGGATGGACGGCTGCTGAGCCTGCCTCTGTCCAATTAGCACCTCCACAAGGAGGGGGTCTCCCAGACCGGGTGCTTTGAACCTGGCAGAAGCATTGTGTCCCTGCTAATTTGTTCTTTCCTTCATAACGTACCAGTTTTCCATGTAACCATGTGGTGTCGTCCATCGTCTGTGACCCAACGTATACCTTTTGAGAGTCTGTCGGAACGTGCCAGAGTCCTGTCTCGCCTTCCGGGGCCTCAGACAAGGGCAGGTGTTGCGCGGACAGACCCCATGAGCAGGGAGGCTACAGGGAGATGAGGGGGCGCCCCCTGTGTTCTCAGCCGCCATGACCCCTCACGCACGAGCGCCTCACTGGGCCCGGTGAGACCCCAGGGGCAAGGCACCAGGGTTTTCTCGTGAACCCCATGGCTCTACAATGCAGCCAGAGGGGCAGGGCCCAAGCAGGGGTGCTGGGGATGGGCTTGAGGGTGCACGAAGCTTCATGCCCCAACAGCATGACCCCCTGTGTCCAGAGGGCCCCTGGCAGCTCTGATTTGGGAGGCCCCAGGGACTCTGGTCTGCACCCTCATTTGGGAACCCTCCGTGTCCTTCGCTGTTCCTTTAAGGTCCCATCCAGACCTCTGACCCATCCTGCCTCAGGGCGCCTGACCAAACTCTTGTTCGGTGGCGGATTGGGGGGTCATGATAAGCGCCCCATGCAGGGCATGAGCCCCAGCGGTGGCGCCAGGAAACTGAGGGCCCCCAGCTCTCATTCCCTCAGTGTAGGTCCTCTTTCAGTGCACTCTTTTCTCCGGGACTGTCAGCTCCCACATTGCCCAGCGAAGGGTTAACCCCGCCTGCTCCTGGCAACCCCCCCTTCCTGCCAGCATCCATCTACCACAGGCTCCAGGGTCATCCTAACCCTCTTCCACTAGGCACCTGTTCCTCCCCATGCCCCCTCCTGGCCCCAGCCTAGGGGAGGAGGCCGCCTTGTCTGAGCTGTTTTGGAGCCCCATCTGAGGTTGGCTGCAGGTGTCCCTGCAGGTCCCAGTCCCAGACCCACAGTGGGACATTCAGGTGGCGCTGACTCCGGGACCGAAGGACAGGGTTGTGTGTTCATGGGCTTGTGTGTGCACCCTCGTGCCACCTGCATATACACGCTTCTGCGTCTGTGTCGTGTGCACCCAAACTCACGTAGACTTACAATTGCATTTTGGGGGAAGGCCTCTTCCCAGTGGAGCTATGTATGCCTTTCTTTCACGTTTAAAAAGGCACAGACAACAGCTTAGCAAACAGACGAGCCATATACTCCTTCACCTAAAACTGAAACCAGCCCAGACCCACAATGTTCAGAATCAGGTCTGTGTTTGCACATGTTCACGTGAGCGCGGACCCTGGGGCTTCAGCTCTGCACCTTCCCCCAGAGGCGAATGTCTTTTCCCTTGGCCTCCCTCAGCCCCTCCCTCCCTACCCCCGCCATCCCCTGCTCGGTGCCAGTGACCTTCCTCCTCATCAGAAGTGCAGGGGCTGTGAGACTGACTGTCACATAGCCTGACAGCGCCAGTCGCTAAGTGACGGTCAGGCTCTCCTGAGTGCCTGCCCCCGTTCCGGGCATCCCTGGCAGGCCTGCGGAGGCAAGCATGCGAGTCCCCATTTTTTATGCTGCCTGACAGTAAAAGCCTGCAGCCCAGCCTGCCTGTCCGAGTCTCTGCAGACACTGAAATCACTCACCCCCTGACAAAGGGCCGGTCTGCCAGGCAGCCCACACTTCACCCTGAACTGAGGACCCAGATCCTGATCCTAGAAAGAGAGAGCATCGGAACCCACACGCTGCTTGCTGTCCAGGGGCACAGCGACAGGAGTCCCAGGCCGGGATGTCAGGTCTTGGGAGGGCCACCATTCCCTTAGCCTCTCAATGGCCATCTTCCAGACTGGGCTCCAGCTTCCTGGGTCCACATGGAGCACAGCACAGGAGGTGTCCATGTTCCTCCTAAGGGCAGGCCTACCCAGGTGGGGCCGCCGTGCGCCTGCTGTCTTCCCGGGCCGTGCTGGACAAGGAAGTGGGTGCTGGAAGGGAGGTTTTGTCAGGATGGGTGCTCTTCAGGGCGTCGACCCGGAGCAGCAGCTCGGTGTTCAGGCTTCTGATGGGCACAGGCTGGCCCCGTGCTGCCTCCTCCCCAGACATTCCACCCAGTGGGCCCGGCCGCAGTCGGCCCGAGGCGGTGGGATGGGCCTGGGCCTCTCCCTGCAGCCCACCCAGCCGGGACAGCAGAAGACAGCTGCGGCCTAGTCAAGGGGCCACTTGTCCTCCCAAGTGGTTTTGGAGGATGCAGTGCTCAATCAGAAGCTTTCCGATCCCTGTCCTGCCAGAGCCGCTGAGTCGAGGAAGTTCCCAGTGGGGAGAGCAGCTGTCAGGCCCTTGGCTGCCAGAATGAGCTCCAGTGGCTTCTCTGCACTTGAAGCCACACTTTGCAGGGGCTGGTGTTTGGTCAGGGAAGCAGACCAGAGAGGCCATCCATCAGGGGACAAGACAGGCCCAGCTTTCCGTGTCTCCGCTGAGACTTGCCACCCTCCATCTTACCCTGTGGTGGAAAACACAGGGGCTTGGCCAAAACAGTGCGGCTGGGAAGCGGAGGAGCCCACACACAAGCCCCAACCTTGGTAATTCCAGAACCGCAGGCCACCTTCTGAAATCACCCTGCAGAATATCCGTGCGGCTCCTCGGTCTGTCTCAGGTGTCTCCATGGGGCCCTGCAGAGCCCTGGGCCTCAGGTCCAGATCCCCATGGGGGGTACCCCGTGAAGTATATGCATTTCTACTTCCAGTGTGCGTGGTTGCTCTAGTAACCACATGAAAAGCCACAGCCCATTCACAGAGACCCTGGCAACTGTGCCGCCCCTGTCAACCAAGGCTGGGCCGTGTGGCCCTGGTGGGGAGAAGCCCACGAGTCCCCCAAAGTCAGCAACACAGTGGACCCCAGATGGCCCCGTCTCTCCTGACAGCCCATGGGGTGATCCCCAAACGAGGCCATAAAACTCTTTAGATACTCAGTTGTTTTCCTCTCCAACCCTCTGTCCAGCCTAGGGGACCTCAAGTTCTCTGCCTGGGTTTATAAGAGGCCCTTGTTTATGCCGAATACCGATTTTCTCAGCTGCCCATGGGACCTTGAGTCTGGGTGACTTAGGTTTTATGGATGTCAGACCTGATCTAACTTGTGTCCCTCCAAGGGTGGCCCCTTTGTCCAGCCTCTCTCTGCATCTCATCACTGCCCGTCTTGGGGCCCTGTCTCCGCGTTAACGTTTTCTAACCAAACAGGTTTTGGTTGAGTCCCTGCCGTGCGCAGCAGTGGGGACAGAGGGCAATAAAGGAACGCACAGTCTAGCAGGGGAGGCCGGGGTCCACCAGGTGACCACACAGAAGTGTTCAGTTGAGAACTGTGACAAAGGAAAGGTGCGGGGGGCTCGGGCAGCACAGGAGGCAACAGGAGGGCCCAGTGGGCTCCCAGAGGCGGCAGCACCGGAGATAGAAGTGAAGGTTGAGGGGTTAATGAGGACAGGGGTCTGTGGGCCTTGGGTCACACACAGCCCCCCCACCCACCCCCACCCAGGCTGAGCCCAGCATATGGCCAGAGACAAGTTGGATCCTTTTCCCTCTCTCCCTGGGGTCTACCTATAAATCCTGTCCTTTCCCATACAGACCCCAAGGGGCAGCCTGTTTGTGAGGAACCGCCCATGTGCCCATGGGGCAGGGGCCTGTGGCCAGCGCTGGCAAAGGGCCCCTTACCGCAGGGGGAAGGGCACCGCCTGGAGGGTCACTGGTTTGCCCTCTGTGCTGGGAGCACCTGCTTCTGAGTCCCCACCACATGCCAGGGACAGAGTGTGGATGCTGGCGAGCGGCTTTTTTCTGCAAGTGCTGGACCTCAAATCAGAGACAAGAGACACCCCCAACTGAAGGAAAGGTCACAACTGAATTCCCTGGTAACCAAAGAAACCAGCTAGAAGGAATTGGGAGAAAGGGTATTTTATTTCCATTGTTAGTTATTCACCTGTTAAGGCTGTGCTGCGGGAATTATTGTCCGGTTTTAACAGCAGAAGTGCGAGCTGACCTGTTCCCCTTGCCCTTTGTAGGAAGTGCAGTAAACCCCCCAAGGCTTCCTAGGGAGACTGGTGCCCTGGACAGCATCCTGGAACCCAGCATCTTGTTGCCCACTCGTCTGGCCTGATAGCCTCTGCTTGCTCCCCAGTGAGCAAATGACCGGACTGGAGTTAGCAGGGTTCTTTTTCCTTAAACACTTGGTCAGGGTTTTGAGAAGCTGAAATTGCAGAGAACATACGGCGGGGAAGAGAAGACAGACCCAATTTGGAACCAAATATAGGGCCAGTAGGAATACTTGAGAAGAACTTTCTGAGTTACAGCTGACACACACGCAAACGCATGTTCACACACACCCAGCGCACACGCTTGCACTTGTATGCCCTGCGTGGGGCTCAGGTGGGAGAACGCCTCAGGCTAGAGCTCTGGGACCGGCTCTCTTGGGTCTCACGTGTGTTCTGGGTGAGCTGCTTGGAGGAGAAAAGACAATTGTTAAAAAACGAAGTCCGCTCTTTCCGTCGTCCGTTTTAAAGGCCCGTGGAATTATGAGCACTTTGATCTTCTCTTAGGGTTTTATGGGCAGAAGGAAGGGTTTGTTGAGGCCCAGTGTTGAGGCCTGGCAGGGGCGGGGTCCTGCTCTTCCCATCCTCACCTGATACCTGGGTTGTCAACACGTGACCTTCCGCCCAGCGCTCGGTCCCTTTCGGGCCCAGTGGGAGCCAGACAGCCCAAGACTGACCCGCGTGTCACCAAAGTCGGTTACCAGTCAGGTGGGACTTTAAGGACAGAAACCCTGAGCAAGACATGTTCTTTTCTGCCTAGTTTTCTCCATGGCGTTCATCTTTTTTTTTTTATCGTGATAAACTACACCTACCATACAACGTACCGTTTTAACGACTTTTAAGCATACAGCCCCGCGCGGCATTAGCTGTATCCCCGTTGTGTTTTGTGGCATTAATTTTCAGCTTTGCTCGAATCCCGAGGTTGTGTCCGAGAGTACGGTTCCTTCCTTCCCAGGGAGATGCTCCTAACTTTTTTGTTTCAGCCGATTAGAACCCAGCCTTGGCCGCTCGGCACCTGGTCTCAGGCCTTCCTGCTGTGGCTTGGTCTTGGTCTCCAAAGGTTCAGAGCAGCCGAGTGTCTTCTGGAGAGCGGCACCCCGCGGCTGGGGAGGCGTCCAGGGCTTGCCTAGACCTCCCTGAGTTGGGCCGTTGGCTTTAGTGTGGCGACGTCAGGAACCATGGGCCTCATCAGTCGAGGGTCGGAAATCTGCTTATTTCACTAGCCGGCTGGGCTCCTTTCCGCCAACCACACAGCTTTCCCTCCTCAGATGGTCCCTGGGGTGCAGGGCCCTTGTGCTCACCGCTGGTTCGCATGTGGAACTGTCCCTGGAGGTTTCTCGCCAACAGACACCACGCGTTGTCGACCACCCCCAGTCTTTTCCTTTCCAACAGGACTGAACCTTCGTTGTCTTGACCCTCGAGTGAGCCCCACGAGTGAGCACGCGGTTGGGTCCCTAGCTGTGGTGACAGCACGTCGCCCTGGTGGGGCCCAGTGGGGGCATCACCTGCTCAGAAGGGCCATGCCCCCCGCAGCTGTCCTGAGCCCCCGCCGAGGCCCCGTCCCGCTCCATTCACGCTCTCGTCTGCGCTGGACGTCTGCCACTGTTCTGCACCGCTCTCCGCGTCCCCTTTCTCTGTCCCGTTATTGAAGGCTCTCTCTGACCTGTCGCTGTGTTTCCCTCTAGTCAGGAGTGGCAGGAAAGGACGCCGGCGAGTGTTCAGCCTGTCGGAGGCCGACAGTCACGGCGGCCACTGGGTTTAGTGCTTCGAACGGCAGCTGTCACGGCACCTCTCACAGGCGACTCAGGCAGGTCTCATCCGCTAGCCTGCACGGCCCACACGCCCCGCCGCGGCCTTCCTGGGCGGCGGGCTCTGCACCGCAAGCGGGGCCTCGCTGGGCTTGGGGGACCAGGCCTGGGCCACCTCCTCCAAGCGGCCGGCCATCTCCCCAACTTCCCTGAAGCCCATTCTTCCATTCCCCTCCGGCCTCACCTGGGCTGGGGGGATCCCTGGCCCTAGAGCCTCGGACAGCCTGGAAACGCTGGCCTTCTCCATGGACGGCCCAGCTGTGGGGGGTTCTCCAGCCCAGTCCCCCGGGGGGCCCCCCCGGGTTAAGTCACAAGGGTTGAGCAGTAGAATTTGCAAAAAGCAGCCCAGAAGTCAACTAGGTTCTCTTTTTCTTTTCCTCCCCCGCTCTCCCCCGACCTTGCTCAAAGCTCAGTAGTGGATTCAGTCCCACCTCAGCGAGGGCCAAAGCCATTTCCCCCACCTCCGCAGGCCCCTCCATCGTCCCCATACTTAACGCGCTCCAGGTGGCCGCCGACCCAAGCCAGCTCCCGGCGCAGGGCCCCTCGCTGCTGCCTGCTCCCCGCGTTCCCTCCCACCTTCCCCACCTTCAGGGTAAACCTTCAGGGTTTCCCTTGGGGGCCTCCCACCCCCAGTCAGGAGCCTTTTGCCTTCTTTTGCATTTAAAGCTGCTTCTTCTGAGTTCTGCCCTCCGCCCTGTTACCCTCTGCTGACCCCCTACACGCGCACACAAACACACACACCTGAACACACACACTCAGTCCCACTCTCCCAGTCTGAGCACAGCGGCTGCAAACCCGAAGTTTTCCTGGAAACCGTCACTTGGCAAGGGCCAGCCCAGCCCCTCCCCCAAAGCCCAAGATCCGCTTCTGGAAGGTGCTGGCCAGGGACTTTGGGACCTGCTGCGTCAGGAGGCCAGGCATCTCTCACGGAACCCTGGACGTCCAGAACTTCCCGTTTAGGCCGCCGCTCTTCTCCCTGGCTCCTGGCCAGGAAACCAAAATGTTCTCCAAATCTCTCATTTTCAGGGCCAGGCCCCTACGTGTGGCCTTCCCGCCAAAAACACCAGCAGGGAGACAAAACCAAGGGCTGAGCCCTGGACTGGAGCACGTGTCTTCGTTGGGTTATTTTCCCCTGATGAAAAAGATCTCCTTTTTCATTCCCCTTGGAATGGATATATTTATAGATCACATTCAGGAAGAAATTTTGAGGTTAAAAAAAAAAAGTGTTGTAGGTGATGGGTGAGGGGTTATTTTTTTTCTCCTATAAAAATTGAAAAAGGCTATTTTTAAGGGAAAAAAAAAACCTGACCCTCTTAATAAAAATTGTTGGTTCCTTTCTTAAAGAAGAAACCAATTTTGTGCATGTGTAATATTGTTTGTTGGTTTCTTGGTTTTTAAATATATTTGAAGGCAAATTGTCATATCCTTGATTATGCTCATCCCCCCCCCCAAAAAAAAACCCATTAGGAATCAGGGAGAGAGGTTTGCCAGCTTTTTTTGAGTATCTGCATGCAAATGAGCAAAGAGGGAACTCTTACAAGAAGTTTCAAGAGAACATGAAGGAAATGCTTTGGCAGCTCTGTCTCCAGATAGCACAGAAGTGCCATTTGGAGAATTAGTCATTTCTGAACTGCCTTGTCAGCAGCTGAGCTTACGTGGAAGCCTTGGTATGCAGGCCGGTAGCCGTGCCCACCCTCCCTGGAAGCCAGGTGGAGGCGGCCAGAGCAGGTGAGCCCCCAAAGAGACCACACGCTCTGATGAGCAGCAGGTAGACCTCGCGGGCCCAGACCGTGAGCCTGCGTGTGCGAGGCAGCCCATGCTGCGAGGGTGTCCTCGCTGAGCGGAGCAAGTGCAGGGAGATGCAGAGAAACCAGAATGCGCGTGGAGTGTTTATTCAGCATTTCTGGGCTCAGCTCACAGCCTTAATCACATTTTCCGCTAGTGCTCACCACCACCCCACCCCCGGAGCCAGGACAGACCCAAAGCCCCGTGTAGTGGTTTTCTCTGGGCCTTATTTCTCTTTAAAATAAATATATATATACACATACATAGTAATAATGAAAAGAAGGAAAACAAAAAAAGGCCTTAAGAAGGAATTTTCTGGAATCTTTGAGAGCCTGTCTTGCCCAGGAGCCTTGGGGGAAGAAACGCCGTCGTATTCTCTGGGAAACTCAATCCGTTGCTTGTGCTTTCTTTCCACCGTGGGGAGCCTCTTCCTCTCCCGCATCCCATTCTCTACGCCCTTCGGTTTTCTTTTGCTCTTGGTTTTTCCGTTTTCTTGCCATATGTTCAGTTTGCAGTTCTGTTTTGTTTTGGCTTAATTTAAAAAAAAAAAAAAAAGAAAAAAAACCACCTAGCTTGAATCCCCTCGAACAAAACATGTCAACCATCCTTCCCAGCGTCCCGCCGGCTCATGGCTCAACACCCCATCATCAGTGCCTCCTGCTGATGCCTGGTCAACCCCAAAAACGGTACAGATAAGATATTTGCTCTCCGAGTGAGATGCCCCCGGCCTTCTTGTCGATGCTTCCAGATTACCGGCGCTCAGCGTCGGGAGGATGTTTTCCACCGTGAGCGCCAATCTCAGCTGCCGTTCCTGTCCAGGCAGACTCGTCATTGGAAAGCAGATAGGCCATTTGTCTGTAATCTAATCAAGGAATTTGAAAAGCACCAAAAAAAAAAAAAAAAAAGAAATTGCCACTCCAAAAATAACTGCACTGGGCGGAGCCTTCCCTGCCTTCCCCCTGCCCTGGTTTCTCTCCGTGACCCCCCATGGGGACACTCAGGATCCGACTGGCCCCTGTCTGGGCGCTAACTGAGCTCACAGAGAAGGAGCGGGAGATAAACCACAGTCTGAGGTTTTGTTTTGGTTTTGCAAGCAGCAAAGTTGCACAGAATCCCTTTTGGTTGTTGTTTGGTTTTGTTTTTTAAATATCACAGCGAGAGTTCCCCCTTGGGTAAATGCTACCAAATGTAGGCTCTGGAAATGGCCTGAAGCGATAAGCACACCCAAGCCTATTTCCTCCCTAAACACGTATTTACTCACTGGGCAGGTGGTCCAAGGCTCTCCCTCGTGCGGAGCCCGCCCAGGCGGCTTCCTGGCGCCATCATCTGCCCATTGATTTTGCACAGGCCCCTAATTGTTCTCTCACACCACAAGTCAGGGTAGCCCTGGGCCCTGACAGATTTCTCCCCAGGACTAGGGAAGACTGGATTTACCAGCTCCTGTGTCCCCAGAAGGAGGAAGTGGAGACAAGCTGTCCCCCCAGCACCACCCTCTCCCACCCAGATGTCCCCGGGCCTTTGTGCAGGACGGGAGCAGAGGGTACCGACAGGAGCAGAGTGTCTCGGGACTAAGTGTACCCCTGTTCTCTCTCCCCCCCGCCCAGATGACCCCATAACTATGGAACAGCCTCAGCCTCATCTTCCCAGACAGTTGGTGATCGTCAATGAAACGGAAGCAGAGGCCAGGCCCAGCAAGAGCCTGGCAAGGAGCGCAGACGCGGAGACAGTCAGCCTGTCCCCCAGCCTCATCCCCACCCAGCAGCCCACCATCTCCCTGCTCTGTGAGGACACTGCCGACACGCTGAGCGTGGAGTCGCTGACCCTCGTCCCTCCCGTCGACCCCCACAGCCTCCGCACCCTCACGGGCATCCCCGCGCCGCCCGCACCCGCCGCGGTGGGCACAGCGACACCCGGCGAGGAGGCCGCACCCCCGGAGGCAGCGGGCCCCGCCGAGCACTGAGTGGGCGCCGAGCGGCCTCCCTTTGTGTGTGTGGCCCCGCTGGCAGGGACCCAGGATAGCCGACTCAGAGACACATCGGGAGCACCCAGGGTCCCCGTGGCCCCAGGAACCACCCCTGCCATCTTCTCACCCTCCTTCGCTCCATTTGAATTCCCGTTTCACTTTACACGTCTTGGAGAGCAGGCTGGACCCGGTGGAGACACTGCAGTGAGCCCCGATGACCAGGCGGCTGCTTCGGGGCAGAGATCGGCCTCCTGGTCTCTGAGCCTGGTGACCCTGGGTGGCAGGACCCCTGCCCCCCCTCTCCACCAGCCAGCCGCTCCACAGTCTAGAAGCTCCCCGGCCGCCACACCCAGTGTGCCCGGAACAAATGGACCAGTTCACACTGGGTAGAAATTTGTAGAGAAACAAACTTCGATAAGCATCTCCTTTGGATATTTATTTCCACTTTTGGCAGTAGACAAAAAGCATTTATTTAAAAAGCGTCTATTTAAAAAAAAGAAAAAATTCCAAAAAAAGAATCCCCAGCCCTTAAGGTTTGACATCACGTTAAAAGCATAATAGTACTGTTAAGATTTCATTTTCATTTTCCCTCGAACTTCCCAGCGTTGTGTCGGAAGCTCTCAGTCTGGCTTTCCCCGTTTCCTTACTCTTCTCCCACTCACTAACCCTGCGAGCCTGTGGAATGATAAGTATCTTCCTGGAAAGTTTAGCTTATTTTTTAAACAAAGATAAGGGAGATACATGTATTCTCAGGTACACACAGAGCAGAGAGGGCCAAAAGTTTCTCTGTGGTAGTAGTCAAGGCACCTTGCGTTTCCCGAAAGATCTTCCCAGGAAAGGGCCATGGCAGCCAGCTCCCCCACTCAGGACCCATGCTTCACCTCTCTGGACTGAAACCAGTCAGGATGGCTTCCCAGCGTCACCTTCAGTTCTCGCCACCTCTCTTTGTCTGGAGAGAGCTATTTGGGACTGCGCAGACTCCGGCCCGTGGCCACGATGGAAAGAGGGAGGTCACAGAGTCCGTCCTCCGCATGGCCGGGGCAACACCCACGGGCCAGGTCCCACCCACCACAGGGACACGTCCCGTCTCGACCAGTTGTCCTGGGAGCTCAGGTGTGCCGCTGTCCCTCTCGGCTGCCATTGCAGAGACACAAGCTGATTTTTAAAAAAATGAAAATTCCACTGTTGCTTCTCCCTTTGGGCCAGATGTGCCCAGGCCGATTCTCCAACGTAACACATGGAGCACCCGCACCGTTCCCATCTGCTTCGCCAGGCAAGGTGACCATCGCCTCTCCTGGGTCAGCGGCCAGACCTTCCACACCTTCCTCTCCTGTGCCCGCCCGGAGTGCCAGGACACATGGGCTCGGGGACCATCTGCCTGGTCAAGGACCGCGGGCCTCACGGCCTCTGTCACCCTGCTGCAGTCACAGAGCCCGCCGAGGAGGGCCTCGGCGCCCGTGGGGACAGGGCTGTCCATCATCAGAGGCCCTGGCGTAGGCGTGTTTACCCAGTTCAACAGGGGAGAGCCCCAGGCCAGAGAAGGAGGTCATGCATGCAGAAATTCCTGGGCTGAGCCGTGACCATCCACAGAGCCCCCCAGGAAGGAAAGGCAGGTGGGATGGGAGAAGGGGTTAGGCGGTCCCTGACAGGAGCGGGCATGACATCAGCCATGGGGGCCAGCAGCTGGCCACACGTCTTACCTGATCTTTGGCTTGGACAGAAGAGCAGGCAGGCGCTCTGGCTTTGCAGGGGACTCTGGGGCAGCAGAAATGACAGAAGGCGAGTCACTTCCCAGCCCGGTGGCATTATCATAAAGAACAGGCCCCTGCAGATGGACCCAGGCCCCCCTCCAGGACCACCAGCCTGCCCTCTGAAATTCAGTGACTCCAGCCAGCTTCACGTCTACCGAGCAATGAAGGAGACGTTGGCAATGGCTCAGGTCCTACGGCAGGCCTGTCCCAGAGGTGGGCTTGCAGTGTTGGTCCTGTGGCTTGCCTCAGCGGGAAGCTGTAGGTGTGGGGTGAGGGCGGGTCTTCCTTAACCAGGGCCTACTTGTCGCTTTGTGGGTGAGGAGGAGGCCTGCATCCCTGTAGATGGTGCTACGTCTTGACCATCACAGTGGGAGCGGGCACGTCTTCAGGAACACCCCACAAATCTAACAGCAGGGGCACTCAGAGGCAGGCCTAGCGCCGGACAGGGTAGCGCCAGGACTCCAGGGTCAGGCAGAAAGAGTTAGAGCCGGGAATCCTTGCAGAGCAGGCGTGGGGACTGTGTCCTTCTGGGGTCACACTCGCCAAGCCCACCCGGCCTGCTGTTTCCACGTCCCCGCAGAGAGAAGGGCCAGGCCCACCCTCCGCAAGTCCCTTGGGCCCATTGGGCTTACCAAGTCCGGGGCAGGGTTGGCCCCATGAACCCTCAAACCTTAGCGTTGCAAGTTGCTGTGAAGAAGCCTATGTCCTTCCAGTTCAGGGACTCAAGCCAGCGAGGGCACCTCTCACTGAAGGTCAGGCAGGCTGAGGCCAGGAGCTCTCCAGCAGCAGCTCCAAAGCCACAGCGGGAGTGTGGGGCAAAGACTGCCGTCCTGGGGACGGGAGGGAGAAGGGCGCCTACCCCTGCAGGCCTTCCCTGCTCCCTTTCCCTCCACCCAGCCCGTCTGTTCCCCGTTCCCTGCTCCCTGCAGAAGGCAGCTTCCCCCGCCACCTCAGCCCCTGCATTAGCAACCCCCGCCCCTGGGAGGGAGTGAAGACACATACCTCTTTAAAGACATACACTAGATTTCTCTAAGGTCTCCAGATGCACTGTTAGAAATAAAGGCACGGCGTGAACGGAGTCTCATCTTCTCTAGACGCAATAAATAAGAAATATTTAATGTAGTTATGTCGACATTGGGCATCAACTATCAGGGTTCCTTATGTTCCCTCTGAAGTGAAAATATGTAAATAGTTCTTGTCCCACAGAGGAGTAGGGGTTGGGAAACCCTCATGCTTCTGGGCCAAGGGACGGTTCCAGGGAAGTACCTGCTCTCGCCTGTGTGACTCATGCTCTGTGGGCACCGAACACGAGGGTGGAAATGAAAACTGGAACTTCCTGGTAAATTTGAACTTGGCAATAAAAGCGAAAAAGTTACCAAGAATGTGGCTGCTGCTCCGTGGCGCTGTGGTAGGAAGGCCGTGGCCCGGGGATGGGAAGGTTCTCTGTGGCCTGACCCCGTGGCCCGTTGCAGTCGCTGGGCTTCTCCCTGCCCCCACCGGGCCCAGGTATTCCCCAGCTCCTGAGGGGGTTGGGGCAGGGCTGGGAAAGCTCACTAGGTTAGGTTCTCCAAGCCCAGCCGGGTGCCATGAGTTCCATCCTGCTGTGCTTCCCTTCCACTGGGCCGGGAGCTCTCTGTCTAAGCCTCAGGTTCTGCATCTGTGGAATGGGCTGTTAATGGGACAAGCACAGGGCCTCACACTGGAGAGCTGGCGACAGGGAGCCTCTTCACACGTGCTGCTGGGCCGGGGTACGTGGGAAGGGCTCCTCACCAGGAACCGAGTCTGGTGAAGCCTGTCCCAGGTGGCCACAGTTCCCGAACACACGGACATGCACCTGCATGAAAATCCCTGGAAATGGGGGTTACAGGTTCTCCAGCTTAAAACCCGGCACAGAAACAGGCAGGACCTTCTGGGCCTTGAGGTAAAGCCCACACTGAATCCTAAACATAAACCGGACACCCGCCTCATGCCGGGAGTTGGGGCGTTTCTGGTCAAAGGCGGAGACGCTGCTGGGGGTGGGACTCAGTTCCTCAGAAGTCTGCCCACGGGGCAGCGAAGTCATGGGGGTCCCTGGGTGGAGCTCGGATCCTGCTCTGCACCCCGGCCTGCTGGGCTCTGTCTCACTCACCCTTCCCCAGAGCAGCCCTGCCTCGCGGGCACGTGGGCACTCACGCATTTCGGGGACTTCAGTTCAGAAAAAGGAACTTGCTGGAAGGATCTTCCAGGAGAAGGGGGAAGATGGGCCGGGGGGGGGGGGGGGGGTGGTGCAGAACTGGGGACAGCAGGTGGTGGAGGCTCCCTCCAGAGGGTCTCTCTGGGCCAGCCAAGGCCCAGGCCCCCACGTTGTGGAGTCAGGCACCGGGAGTGAGGGGCGAAGGGCAGGCGCCGGCAGCATGGCACCGCCTTCATACAGATGAGGAAACTGAGGCCCGTGGGGCTCAGCAACATTCCCAAGGGCCCTGGAGTGCAAGTCCAGGCATGTGTGCTTTGTGCTGCCCACACCGCCTGAGACCCAATCTGCTGGGCCAAGTGTCCTCGGGCCGTTTACAGGAAGGAGGAGGTGGAACAGTAGTTCTCGGGTGAACGGGTGCTGGAACTCTCTGGAATGCTTGTCCACGATCGCAGCCGGGCACTCCCCAGAGCTAGTCCCCGAGTCCCCGAGATGTGGTCTGGCTGACGGCCCTCTGCGCTGTGCACGAGGCCAGAGCGGGTACCATTTCCTCTTCTGCCTCCCGGCTCTCAGGGAGATGCCATCTTCTCTTCAGGGGGCAGAATCCGGAGCCAGACTCTGGCACTCAGCAGCCTTGCGGCCATGGCCATGGCCAGGTCACCTCCCTGTCCTTGGGTCTCCTCATCTACAAACTCAGGACAGGACTGAGTCTTGTGGGTCATGAGGCCAGAGGGAGTCACTCATGCAAAGGGCTCAGCTCAGGGCTGGAGGCCTGGGGAGCTCTGGGCGTGACTCCCTCCGTGGCAGCTTCCCCCAGCCCCTTCTCAGCCCAGGCTCAAACCCGGGAAAGGCCTTGGGCTTGTTTGGTGGCCTGTGACTCGTCACTTTGCTCTCCCAGTCCCTGGTTCCTGTCTGTAAGGCAGGCTGGGAAGCACCCGCACAAGGTTCAAGGGCTTCACCAGGATCGCTGTGTGCCCTTGGGCAAGAAGGGGCCACCTAGTGCCTGGCAGGAGTCAGGGGGAGTGGGGGTGGGGGGATCGTCGCTGGTGCAGGTGCCCGGCCAGCCTGTCCCCGCGTCTTGTGATGGTACCTGGAAGGTGGAGGAGCAGGTGAGGGTGGGCAGACAGCATCCTGCCAGCGAATGACCTTGGGTCCTGCGTTCAGGGAAACGGCTTCCTGCTGGAAACCCCCTTCCCTTCCTATCCTGACACCTCAAGGCACTTCCAAGCGGTGGGGGGGAAAAACCCCTCCCCGTCTGATGCGCTTCTCTCCAAAGAAAGAGAGGGCTGAATCACCCAGATGGGAACACATGGGGCTTCCCAGGAGGTGCCCCCCCGCCCTCCAGGCACCTCACCCACCCCAGAACCCGAGCGCCGTGGCCCTTAGCCCCCCCAGCTGCCGGGCCCCATGGCACCTGGCTCGGCCCGCTTTCGCTCCGAAAGGCGCCTGCCTCGGCACACCTGGGTTGTCATCTCCTCCACTCTCGACTGATCTTAAAAACTCAATGTGCTCCAGAAGCGAGAGACTTTACCACTGGAAACCAAAACACAAAACCAGCCCTGCTGACTGT